ATTGTGGTGCTGCATTCGAAAACGTTCGTGAACATTTTTTTTATTATAGTTATTCCAGTACATTATATGGCATAGGTTTATGTATGAAATAGACCTAGAGTGTATATAGTGTAAGGATGTGTGGTAAGAACTTAAACAACTTTTCTGCTGCCTGCTTTAGGCCATTACAAAAGATGGTTCGCTTGTCGACCCATTTTATAAAAAAAAAACTGTCTAATCGAAATCAATTGATCTGCCAAAATTCAGATTGCTTCACCCGGGACAAATTACGATGGTTCTCAACCGGATAAATGCATTTATTGTAACAGTATTGAGGTTAGACCATGTCGCCGATGCGTATCATTTGTCAGTGATTTTATTGCCAATTTCATGTTTACAGGCGTTTACGACATTATTTCACACCGTAATGCAAATTCATGATTTGTCCACGCGCCAAAATTTGCCGGCGCGTTACAAAGTCCCCGGAAGCCCACAAGGGAATCACATCTCCCACAAGACTAGGGGTATTCATAGAAGCGGATATTTCTCTCTGCGAGGGTTTTGTGAAATCTTGCTCACCCGTTACAAACGGTTCAGTCGTTAAAGATACAATTCTGCCCCATGCAGATTGAAGTTTCAATATTATCAGTCTCTTCATACATCACAATGGACAGTGCCGCTTTCATCTCGACTCTCTCTTGGGTTCGTTTGCGTTTACGGTGAACGGTAACTGATGAAAACCAAATTGTAAAGTTTTCTGTTGCCTTCATCTGGAACGAAAAGACAAGAAACAGTTAGCGGAACGAACAAGGAAGGCGCCAATCCACACGCGTGTAGCAAATTCATCATTTAGATAGTTTACACCTTCGTGATGGTGCTTTTTCTTGACCTGAAGAAGGTCGAATCATGCTTTTTACGCCATGTTTGCCGGCCATAAATCAGTATTGACTGTTTGAAAAGAAATTACTACAACAGGATTCTTGGTATCAAATTGGGTAGGAACAAATTCACAAGAAAGCACGATTCTGGAAACTTTTTGGACAAAGATGAAACAAATGAATCTGTTATACCCACAAATCAAACCAAAATATCTAAAGTAGGTCGTGAAAGCACTTAGAAAACATGCTTTAAGGATACCGTAATATTATCGAATACTGTATTTACGCCTAAGAAATCCACGTTGTTTTTAGAAAAATAGAAGCCATTTGCTTAAGGAGGTCGTTTAGAGGTTTGGGGGAAACACCATTGGAAACAACAAGAACAGAAACATGTTGACTCTCATAACTTCAAGAGAAGATTTATACCGAGTCCTCTCCTTCGGGTGAGACGTGTAATCGGGTTGTCATTCTAACATGGTGGTCCTATCCATCCGTGCTTCGTATCGCAACGTGTAATTGTCATTTCGAATACAACTTACAAAGGACAATTGTACACGAAAACTACTGATTTACAAGATTGCCATAAAAAGATGAAACACTGGGCTTGAGGACTGATACATAACGAATCTTGGACAGCTGAACTTTCGTTTATATCTTTCTTTCTTCACTTATTTCTTTTATCACTTTAAAGGAATGATGAATGTCTGAACATTCGTAACATTCTTCATGTCAAACATCATGCCCCATCAATTCTTTACAACAGTTTCTGATTTCGAGGATTCATGTCAACATTTTAGTTGATATTCCAAAGCTTGTATGCTTGCATCTCAAAACAAAACTTTTTCAATATACGTAGGCCTATAAAAATGTTAAAATTCAATTAACCATTTCTTGTATATAGGCCTATATATAAATGTATATATATATTATATATATACATATATATTATATATATACACAACATTATATATGTATATATAATATATATATATATAATTTATATAGGCTTATATATAATATATATATGATATATATATTATATATATAATATATAATATATATATATATATATAATATATATATATATAATATAGGCATATATATGTATATCATGGTATCATGGTCTCCGTCAGTCGGAGTTGACTATGGATAATTATGCCTGTTTCATTGCTACCAAGGTAACAACAAATTAAAATTTTTTTCATCGGGTACATTTCTTGCTGTGGCTAAATAAACTTATCCGTGACTTGCATTTTCTACCACATGTGGCACAAGGGTATTCAGGAGCATCTGCTGGTTCATAGTGCACACTCACGTTCTTGCGTTTCGCTCTCTTTTCATTTGCCAATTGGGTTTCATGTTCAACGTAATTTTGAAGCCCAATGTAGACGGCGTTCCTCCAAGCACATCTATTTTCAGCAATCTTTTCCCAACTATATTCAGGGGTGTTGACTGCCTTAATATCTCTTTTCACAAGATCTTTATATCTGAGTTTTGGTCTTCCTCTTTCTCTCTTTCCTTGTGCTAGTTCTCCATATAGTACTGTAT